TTCTGCTTGAGAAAATGTCTGTTTCTCCTGGCTGTCTTTGGGCAGTGACCTGCATATGACCGCAGTCCCTGTGGGGCACCTGTGTCGGCCTCTCCTCTGTGAATACACTGCAGGGGGTTCCTTTAAATCCCCCTCCTATTTCAAACCCTACCGTCCTCCTGCTCAAAGAGTCACTGTTACCTTGTCACCATTTGCTCTAAATCCTATGGTCCAGCTCTACACCCCCATCCCCAAAATGGTACATTCCAGATCAAAGGCCGGCCAGGCCTGAGGGACTGGCACATATAACCTGACCGGCGTCCGCACTGACTGTTTATCACTTTCCCCATGAAATCGACTGCAAATATTACCTAAGACAATTAGGCCCCCTGATCCCTATCGCCCACACAATAGTGTTTACGTGACACGGAGGAAGGGTGTCCATGGAGCTGCTGTCAGGGGGGGGGGGGGGGGGGGTGTGTGTGTGTGTGTGTGTGTGTGTGTGTGTGTGTGAGGCTGCTTGACTTTTTGTGTGTGTGAGTGTGTGCGTGCGTTTCTGTGTGTCAGCATGTGTCTGTGAGTGAGTGATCGTGTGTGTCTGTGTCTGTGTGTGTGTGTGTGTGTGTCTGGGGACATAATGTCCCCATAACATGATAAATATCCGTTTTTTTTCCCTTATGGGGACCGGTTTCCTAGTCCCCATAAGGGAAAACTCAGAAAAATCAGTGACTGCTATGAAAAAACTAAAAATCCAAAAACTCTTGTATTTTGTTAGGTTACTTATGGTTATGGTTAGGCCAGGGTAGGGGTTAAGGTTGTCATAGTTAGCGTTAGCATTTTTCCCATTGAAATGAATGAGCAGTCCCCATAAGGATATGTTTACCCTACATGTGCGTGTGTGTGAGTCTGTTGTGTGTATGTTGAGCTGAAGGTAGACAGGAAGTGCCAGAGACCTGATACCCTGATCTTGGACAGGTGAGGACAGCATGGTTTTATCACTGGTTTTAGCGAATAAGCCACACAACTCCCTAGCATTGGAGAAGAGTGGGTGGGGTGGGGGTGTCCTGCAAGCCCAAATCCCAGAGGCCGCAACTGGTCTTCTGGTCTCTATCTAGTTCCCCTTTGTCTTAGTCCTATTGCTGCCCCCGTGCTGTGAAAGCCGTCACCCTAAATAAAGGCCTCATTCCGTCCTCAGATCCCTGTGTCCTGTGGGCCTGCCGCCCCTTCCGAGAGAAAGCCCACACGATGCCCCCGTCAGGACCTGTGATGCGTGGCTTACTTCACTTACATCCTTTCAGCTTACTTTTGTGGATGAATGGGTTTCTATGGCAACCACCCCCCCAATCATTGTCCAGATAAAAAAGACTCAAAGTTTTCTTTTTTTTCAGACAGTTGTCAGCTTTTCCATTTCCTCAGCTCCTAATGTTCCAGGACGCTTCCTGCGGCTCTGCCCACCGCGCTCCCGAAGGCCGCGCCATTCCGGCCGACGCGGGCTGGGAGTCCGCCTTTGACGTTCCTGACATGGACATGAAGCTAAGGATGGTGCGTTTTGGGGACTCAGCATTTGGAGATGAGTTGGGGAGGGCTTCCGGAACCTTCCGAAGGAATCCTGCCTTATGTCTTCCATGCCAGGGGGAAACACCATGTTAACCTCATTAATTTTAATACACTCGTTATCTTTGATGTCTGCCGGCTTGCTTTTCATCACAGGCGTACACTGACACTTTTCCATTAGTCTATTTTTGGTCCACGAGTATTATTATTTTTGTATATTTTGTTTGGTGGCAGAGGAGGTCTCACTGGAGGCAGTGGGAGTGTAATGTGGACCGTTCCCCCACGGGCCTCGGCCTGGGGCATGGACCCGCACGCACACGGACGCCATCATCCTCGCCGAATCGATGCAATAGATAGAAAATAGAATAAAATTAGTCTTTGTCCCAGAGGACAGACGCCTTTTATTGAAGAAAAAAAGAACTACGCAAATCGAGACAACTAGTGCGAGTATCACAGCAAGTGAAGGGCATCCGTGTGGAACGACAGGTGCTGCCTGGGGGGGGGGGGGGTTTCAGATTGTGAAGGCCTATCCCCCCTTCCCCCTCCCCCCCAACCTGACAAGGCAGGGCAGCAAATTGGCTAAGTAACCGAGGGCTAAACACAGAGGCGACATGGAATCCGGTTCGGTGCAGGTTTTCTCAAGTTTCTAACCCCACTAAGATGCTCGTCAGTGCTCATCCACGGCTTTTCACTCCGAGGAAGCAGGAAGCCCGGGCTGCCGTCTAAGTCTCAGCGCGTCAGACCATGAGGTCCATGGTGTCGCTCTGGCGACGCGTCTTCCTGTCACATGTGCACTAACTGTTCTAAGCATACCTCTTACTCTCCAGTTATCAGAAACTTTTAATTGCTTATCATGGGGCCAAATCTCAACTGGATGTTACTAAATTTGCATGCCACTAAAATTCACGACGTGGCAGCCGTTTTGTTTGCTTCCATTAAAGTCCATACTTTGGAAATTTAATTTACACTTTTAGAGCATACTCTGTCTGCAAGCAGACAAAACTGAAATGTCACCAGATTTGATAATATTTTTCTGTAATACTCCATCAGCTGATTCAGAAAAATCTTCAGAAGAGGCAGCTCCAGTGGGCAAAACCAGTAGTTGTAACACTGTCATGGAATGAATGCAGCATATTAATGTTATGTGCTTGTTGTATGTAATAAAAAATGTACAGCAGGGGGTGTAATATTTGTGCACTTCTGAGGGACTCTGCTATCTCAGGGCACAAACACGGGCGATTTAGCGATGCTACTTTTCACAAGCATGTGTCATATACAGGAACAGCACGCAGACTCCCATGCAGGACAGGAGTCGAACCCTAACCCTGCCACACTGATGCCCACAAAGCCACCAGTGGCTTTAAAAAAAGGGAGGTTTGGTGTTTTTGTTTAGATTGTCTAAGTCTGATTATGAGAGTGGGGGGAGGGGGGCGGAGGAAGGAAGGAGACCTTAAGGAAGCTGTTCAGGAGGAGAGTTAATCAAATCGCCTGCCCGTTGGTATATGCTGTGGCCACAGCGCAGTGCTTCAAACATGCAGGCGAGTCCGGGCGCAGCTGTAGCGCATCACGCATGGGCTTGCTTTAGCGTCGTGGCACACATGCAGATGCAGGGGCCGAGTGCCCTCCACCCAAACTGCAACCTGAGAGCACTGAGGCTCAGCTCTCACCTCCAGTAAAATTAGATCAGTGGAAACAGTTATAATTGTTTTCTAAATATTAGTTGAAATATTTTACAAGCGACTATTTATACTGCCCTTCAAAAACCTTACATGTATTGTTGTAAAACACCTACAAATAAATCAACGTCAAGGACCCTTGTAAAATGTAGGGCCTCCCATGTCCTCCTGAAGCCCAGTGGGATTTTGGCCCAATCTTCAAGACAGACATCCAGATCTTTGAGGGATGATGGAAGCGGAAATCTTCTCTGGCCTTGCTGCCCCAGAACTTAAGACATAGATATTAAACGATGTCTAGATTTGATGCTTCATGAGGCCATGGAAGATGCTTCAAGCAGGTGCTGGTGAAGCCATACTTGAAGTTGTTTAGCATTGTATATAGGGATATTTTTATATTATGGGAACAGCTTGCATGACATACTGTTACCTGTAGTCCCATGTGACCACGCAGAGCAATCACTGAACCTAATAACTGGCACAAGATGTCTGTCACACCATTATGGATGCCCTCCGCAGGTAACAGCTGGCCATTCCTGCTTGAAGGCATCTTTTGTCATCTCTAAACTGAAACCTATGTGGATGTAAATAATGTAATGTGACTTTTCAGGGCATATTACTTTCGCCATAGCTCAGGTTTTGTTCAGATTATGCGTCTGTCTTACCAAACACTATTCCCGTGTGCCCATGCAGTGTGTCTGCGTTCAGCACATACCGTCATGATCTTTGACACAGTTTCCCTTCACACATGAAATAATTTAGCAGTTTGTTTTTTTTTTTTGACCGATCCACCTGTATCATCCATCCAGCCCTTTTGCATTCCTGTTGCTTTTCCATTAGTTAACTTACATATCAAAGTGCTGAGTGTCACTTACTTTTACTGGCATCCAAGCTAGTATGACTCATCTTTGTAGCTGCGTTTGTTATTGTGATTTAGTCATTTTCATATTATGTTTTTGTTATTTTGTCCACCGATAAATGCATATGTATTTAAAAAAAAAACAAATATGCATGTATAATGTTGCTTTAACGCATGACTGTCATAACATTTCCACTAATATTTGTCATAATATGATTATGACTTCAAGAGTCAAATTTTTTCAGTTATATGAGTCACGGCATGAAACAGGAAGGGTTTGATGAAATAGATCTTATGTGGACTCTGGCCCGTTCTTGCTGCAGGTTTGTTAGAGTATTTCACGATGACCATTTCCCGCCAGTTCGCAGAGTCCTAGAAATGATGTCTGCCAGCGGCGGGCACGGCTGACGGTGTCGTCACGGCGACCCGGGGGACGGCCGTGTGTGGCTGGAGGTACTGACGTGTGCGGGTGACATTCATGTGTGTTATTCCATTGTGATATTAGCTGTGTTTCCTGTTGGGAACGATCCAAGGCCCTTTATAGTCTGGGACTGACCAGAAAGGTGGAAGGACGATGGGGGGGGGGTGGGATTTGGGGGTATTCGTAAGCGAGAGTGTGTTGGAAGGTCGAGAGCATGGGGGGGTTGCCTCTGTTTCCTTATCTTAGTGGTGCAGGCTGCTTTTGAGGTTCTTATCAGCTCCCAGCACATTGTAAACGAGCATCCTCTTGTCCAGTGGGGAACGGAAATCTCTCTCCACAGCACAGCTCTGCCCCCCCCCCCCCCCCCCTCGCTCTTTCTCTCCAGCCCCCTCAGTGGTCAAATCCCACTGGCGGCCAACCGGAGCAACAGCGACTGGTTCGCAAGGAGAGAAGGAGGGAGGGGGGGAAGGAGCGATGGAGAGAGCGTGGAGGGGAGGAGAGAGAGATGGGGAGGGGCAGGGGGGGTCGGTGAGCATCACCTTGGCCTCGGGGCTGAGCTCCGCCTTCGCTGCGCAGGTCGGCTCCGGCCCGTATCGCCTCATGTCCCATCGCATGCCGCCCGTTTGCCGACTTCTTACTTCCACGATTCTTCGCCTAATTTATCCGTTTCGGTGTTTTCGTTGGCGTTCTGCTGAAGATTTTGAGCGTCACGCCATGGAAGCCGGTGCCTGAGAGCCTAAGAGAGAGCCTCCCCCCCACCACGGTCCACCAGACGCCACACGAGGGGGCACTTCTGCACTCTGGGAGTCTCTACGCCTGCCCCAGCGTCTCTCGGCCGGGGACCTGGAGCCTAAAGTTGTCACAGATCGGCAGGATGAGGAGGATAGAGAGGAGCAGAGAGCAGGACGTCCATGAGCGTGCGGTGTGACTGAGCCAGACAGACACAAGGAGGGCGAACTCCCTGTGCACCAGCAGCTGACTGGTCTGAGTGTTTCGTCCAACGATAACTGCGGGACGACGCCATTCTATACCTCTGAAAGAGGCCAGACCTTCCCTTGGTCTGTAGGGCTGCGTTTCTGGCTTGAAGGTATTGTTGACCCTGGCATATCACCGGATCTTACGTATTCTTTGTCGTGATATTGTGATTTTTCCAGTTAGCAATTTTTTGGACAAACATTGTCTACATAATTATATTTTTGTTTTGTTTTTTCATATCTTAACAAGCGATGACCTGCTGGTGTTGCTGCTTTCAGAATTCAAAAAGTATTTTTTTTTCTTGTGTTTGCCTATTGTGTTTGATATTGGGGAATAGGTAGTATTTTTTTTTAGTTTATAATTTATAATTTCGTTTAGCAGTGTAGCTACATTGGAATAATGTAGCCTACTAATTAACACAACAGAAGATGTGCTGCGATAAAACGTTTAACACTTGTTCATTGATAGTTACATTGCCTTAATTACAAACTGTGCGTGCGTTATATTTTTTACTTCCCTATGTACTACAGTCTTTTTGCTTGTTATCGTACTTATCGTTAAGATCGTGGGCATCACTACCGACGTCCACCCCGCAACTCTGATGTTTCGGCCGATTACCTGCGAATAACAAACTGGGCCACGCGACAATTTGAGCAAATCGAAAATAACCAAATTTAAATACCTTCAAACGCAAATATGTATTATGTATAAATTTATGCCTGTGTTCAAAAAGTGCAATTTAATATTTATGATGAATGGATCGACTAACAACGGAACATAATTAGTGTGATTAAGTGGGATTATTTAAAAAAAAAAAAAAAAACGCGAAATATGCTGCTTTCTCGTTATTATGTTGACGTTTTCCTGTTCGGCTGTTGCGTGTCATACATCCGAATTTCTAACTATACTGTTAACGCTGATACTGGCAAAATGTATAACGTTACGAAAAATATTATATTGCGTACACATTTCAAGAGCCAGATTAGTATACCTATCAGTACCCGTCAGTTCTATATATATAATGTATGTAGAATATTAGAGATACTCTAGGTCTATATATATCTCTAATACTTCAGAATAGACAAATGATCTCATTTCACTTCGTGAAGTCCGACAACAGGCAATTTCTCTTATTTAAAAATCTTGTATAAACGTAGGCTATTATCCGGAGACGACATCTAAAATAATACCATGTAAGAAATGTTAGTATGAGTATTAATACAACTATTACTACCACTTCTATTCCTCCTCCTCCTCCTCCTCCTCCTCCTACTACTACTACTACTATTACTAATAATAATAATAATAATATAATAATAATAATATCCTTACACTGTAAAACTTGTGTTGTTTAGAAAAAAATGTTATGTTTTTAGGAATTGTATACAACAAAATAGTTTATAGAAATGAAATCTATTCAATAGAATTTCATGTTTATTTTACTCATTCGGTTTTATTGGATTGTATGCTCTGCTATCTCAGTTACACACTAACTCCAGCTAAAACTCCCCATAAAATGCACCTTGCTTGCGTGGGCCCCACATGCCGGACTGCCCGTCTCAGCTCCTGTGTGCTGCACTGTAAGCTCTGTGGGGTCAGGGCTGCAGTGTGGCCAGTGACTGGGCCTCACTGTAATGAGAAGTAATTTACTAAGCTGTCGGTGACGGCATCAGTGCGCGTGGTGTCCTGTTGATTACTGATGTTACTACAGACTGAACAGAGCCCATCTCATCCCAGGAACCCCTTCTACCTATGAAGGCATTGACGGTCTCAGACCCCTCACTCTAACTCTAACATCCTAATCCTAACTCTTATCCTAATCCTAACTCAAGCCCACTACAGGATTAACTACTGTGCTACTAGTACATATTATTAGCAATTATTATTTTTATTATCCCTACTGTTGCTGTCGTCATTGTTTCTGTTATTGAAATTATTGATAAATTATTGTTTTAGTCATTAATTAAAACTGCTAGAGATACTAGAAGAGCAGATAGGTTTGTAAAATATAGGTTGTATATAAATGTAAGATATTTATTTTGTTGTATAGTTTCCGATAGACACATTGGTCAGTGACATAATGTTTTGGACTATTTGTTCTGTGTTCTTGTGCCAGTCAGATAACCCAAATGAAACGGGGGAAACTGGCTATGAATGTGTGTTCATTGGAACTGGGTTTTCCACAGTCAGGCCTCGTTCGTTTAGGGACCGTCAGAAACAGCAGGACCAAGACAAAATAAACAAAAAGGGAAACTCTTGTCGTTGTGTTTTTCTGGAGGAGGAAAGGGGAAGAGGTTGATTACAAAACCTTGACATGAATCCTCAGGGTCAAAGGAGCTGAATTTATCTGCAAACAGAGGCGTCACGGTGCTTCGCTTAAACAATTCTGAAACTGTTTTGAAAGCTTTAACAAAACGTTTTTGTTTCTCTTCTTCCTATAGATTGTGAATAATTAACTATTGCTGGTACTTCAGCTGCATTCACAGTCAAGTCATGTTGCTAGCTGAGTGAACGCCCTGTCGATGTTTAAAGCACAGGTCTAATGTGTCGCTCTGTGCACTTGCAGGTGTGAGATTCTGCTGGCTGACACCTGTGGTTTTGTTTGGTACTGAAAGGACTATACTTGCTGCAGACCCAAAGACGCAGTACCCTGCCAAGAACTCACTGGGGCCAGGCTTGATCGCGTGGACGTATTTTCTGAGTCTGTGATGCAGATGGCATCATCTGTTTGTGAAGTACCGATGTGAGGTGGACGTGCTGCTGGTCTCCTGCATGAACGTCCTTGTATGAGCCCCCATGCCCGTCCCCTACGAGCCAGAGGGATGGCAGAGGTACAAACGTCACTCTAACACCTTGTAGAGCGTCGGATTTAAGGAGCTGCAGCCGTCAGAGATACAAGGAACGCGAACTGTGCGAGGAGGGGCTCGCCCACGGCCCAGCCCTGGCAGGGGGGCTCAAGCAAGAGGACGACAGTACGCGGGGGCGGGGGCATTCACAGGGGAAGATGATGGAGAAACTGGAGCCCCCCGCTTCCCCCAGCGCCCGGCGTGGCGAGCAGCTGAGCCCTCCGCGAAGCGTGTCGCCGCCCGTTAACAGCCCGGCGGCTAAGGAACCGCAGAACCGGGGAGATTCGGCCCAGAGCGGCGTCTCCGAGGAGCCCCCCGCGCCGTGCCAGCGCTCGCCGGCTGAGCTCATCGCCGTGGAGACGTCCGACGGAGGGGGGTTGGCCAGATCGCCCCACGAAACGACACCCCCGGTCTCCACCGCCACAGACTCCCCCCTCAACCACACCACGCCCCCCCCCACCCCATGTTCCTCCGCCACCCTCCCCCCCAACATCCCGGTGATCAGCCTAGGGCACAGCAAGCCCCCCATCCCCCCCCTCCCTCTGCCCAGTCCCCAGCTGACTGCCCTGCACCCTATTCCCCCCCGGTCCCTGGGCTCCAACGACATCCGTCTGACACAGCTCACCTCCCTCTCTGCTCCGGCTCCTACTCTCCCCGTGCCGCCCCCCGGCCCCCTGTTGCCCCCCTCCTACCTGCCCGGCCACCCTTTCTTCAGTAGGTGAGACTCCGCCCCTCCATCATTCTTTCATTCGGTACTGTGACACTGTAACACAGGCTAGTGACTCTGATGGTCCTTTCTCCATAACAATTCTGAAGGTCATCTGTGGGTTGTGAATCCCAGAACTGATCTGAGAACGATACCTCCTCGGTTTGATATTTCTTTGGCAGATGTTTTGGTCCAAGGTGACATAAAGGTGAGGATCAGAGAGCTGGTCAGCCAGTGCCCCTGGAGTGACTGGGTTTAAGGGCCTCCCTCAGGGGCCCAACAGTGATATGATTACCTGAACTTTGAATTTGAAATCACAACCTCCCAGACATGGGCATAGATCCCAGCCATGATGAGATAAACAACATCTTCATCTTTCATTATCACAGCGTAAGAAATACACAAAAAGCAGTGCCTGGAAATATATTTGTTCACAGTATAGTTCATCGTCTATACAATCGATGATTCAGAATCTGAATACTTTTATTATCCCAGAGGACATTCAGACCACTGGTGCTGTTCACACAGTGCTTTCTGTGGATGAATCTAGATTTAGTTCTGATTCTGACATGCCTGCTTGTTGCAGCCAGTCCCTTCCAGGCCACATGACTTGTTGCACCATAGCATGCTCCCCCCCCCCCCCCCCACTTGTACACACCTCCCCCCCACAAGCCGCATGTCTTCCCCATCTCCACCCCGGCTTCCCCATTCCTCATCACCACGGCAAAGCCCGGCTTGCCTTGCCAGTAATCGTCCGTGAGTTCTGAGCAGCCACAATACAGAAATTATCTCTGCTTAAAAAAGCCTTTGCGGCCGAGCAGATCATCGCTTCAATAGGTTGACTTCTCAGTGTAATTACTTTCTTTTTCTGGTCTTGTTTGTGATTGCTGGCAGTCTGATCGCTGTACCAAGCAGGCACGTCGCCACGTATACAAATACCCCCTGTGCAGAAAAATCTGCCTAGAGCAGTGCTTCCCAACTTGATCCTCAGGAACGCACGGAGGGTCCGTGTTTTTGCTCCCTCCCAGCCCTCTGCCAGACAGTCACCAAACAGATGTAGAGAGTCTGTAGGAGCCTGAGGACTTGATTGGGAAACGCTGATGTAGGGATCGATTTCACTGAGTGGGGGACATATTGGTAGGGTTTCTGGTATGGACCTGGTACCAGGTGTAGTGGGGATGCTGACCTGGGTGCCCGCTTGTTTTCCATTTCTCATCCACCTTTTCCTCCTTCTCCTCATTCTGTCTCTCACCCCCCCTTAGTGCTTACCTTGGTCCCTCGGGGAATTACGGCCTCTTTGCCAGCAGCCGCATGAAGAGGAGACCCTCCTCGCACTTTGAGCTGGGCCTCTCAGAAGGTGAGCCCTCCTGAGTGCCTCTCGGTACAGTCCTGGGCCAATGCTAGTTGTTAGCGCATGCTCTTTCCGCTTCCGACCTGTGCTCACTTGGGCCCGTGTGCGCGTTGCAGGTCCCCCCCAGAAGCTGGCGCGGCGGGTCTTCACCAACAGCCGGGAGCGATGGCGGCAACAGAACGTGAACGGGGCCTTCTCAGAGCTACGCAAGCTCATCCCCACGCACCCGCCAGACAAGAAGCTCAGCAAGAATGAGATCCTGCGACTGGCCATGAAGTACATCAACTTCTTGGTCCAGCTGCTCCATGACCAGGCCAGTGAATGGGGAAGCCAGACCACTGAGGATGGGGGGCCCCGGGAGGAGGGAGAAGAAGGGGAGGCTGTGGAGGACGAGCGCCTGGGTGTGGCCAATTCGTGGGATCCGAACCCCGGCTCACAGTGTGACAGCCCCTCCAGAGGCCACTCGCTGACCGATCGGCCGGTGCTGGGCTCAGCCCTGCCCGACCGGGACTCCGAATCCATGAGTACCCTGGTAATCTCCCCAGCCTCCAGCTGCTATGGTGACACGGACAGCGAGGAGAGCCTGAACTCCAAAAACTCAATAGTAAACCCCGGAGCGTGCGGGCTGGAGCAGACCGCGGCGCGGATACAGACGGTGCTCGCCAGCGACCAGCGGTGATGCCATGGTTACGTCCAGAAATATACTGAGCGGAGAATCCGGACTGCCTGCCAATGCACACATCTCTCTTTCATTTTGCCATAATGACTGTGACGTCCGCATCTCTGTAAATACAGCTATTTCTTCTGTCATGGCTGCCGGCTGTTTCTTTGAGTGGTTACAATAGCCATGAATCTGAGGTGTGATCACCCAGGTCTCGCATCTGAAGTGTCATTTCAGGCCAGGTCCTGACGCCTATACCGAGACGGATGTTGGCGTCGGAGGTGGCAAACCGGGAATCCTTCCACGGTCGGGATCTGAGGCTAGAAGTTGAGCGCCTGCATGGGCGGAGCCCAGATCTGCGCACCCAAGGCTTTTCAGGTCATTGTCGCTGCTTTTTGTTAGAAACTCACACACACACATGCACACGCGGCTTCCTCTTCTGCGGCCGACGGGCAGACGTGACGGCCGATGTGGCGGCGGCCGGAAGCGAACGACCATGGTTCCCTGTTCCACATCCTCATCTGACAGAGAAGAAACTTGTTTAGATTCTGCCCTATTTAGAGAGCAAGCCGGCTTGTGCCTCATCATCCTGCGCCAGTCACGTCGGAACGTTTAGATCATTATCCCAGTCGCCCCCCACCCCGATCTGTTAGTGAAGTCGCAGTTTGAATTACTTGTGAATTAGCGAGTGTGGTTTGTTACTCTCAGACTGACCGCATGCGTTAAATGTTCTGATCTGTCTGACAGGCCAGCTGGGAAGGCCGCTGAAACCCGGCACATTTGAAGGGCAGCTTGTGGGCTTTCAGCTTCCTGCCGTTCTCTCGTACCACTTCCTGCCATTACACGATGGACACAGTTGAACGTCTCATAGATGCATAAACCTCAGTTTTAAATATTTTCATTGAGTGAAGTCGAGATTGGCTTGTTTTTGTATTTTTGATATATTCTTCTCACTTCAGGCAGGTAAACCTGCCTCTCAGGTATCCAGGTTTCTTTCTTTCCCAAGGGTGGAACTGAAAATTCAACCATAGCTATAAATAGCAGCACTTAGCCAACTGTTTGAATCACAGTTCTGACTGTGGAACACAAGAAGGGCTGCAGAAATTGGGCCTTTCTGGTGCATTTTTTCATGCTCCCTCAGGATAAGTGAATTGGGACAGGGGCTGAGGGTTTAGGAGTGTTCCAATTGGCATACTAGCACACTCAGCTACTTGGTTTGTGTTCTTCCAGGATTGTGTTATGATGTGCAGAAGGATGAGTCTCCATCACAGTGGTTTCATTTTCTCACCACTTGAGAGTAATTTTTGAAATGTTTTACTCAATGACTTTAGAAAACTCCAAGAACACTTGATTTAATATAAAGTACATAATATAGTTTTTAAAAGTCTATATTTTAACTATTGTTAAATTAAATCATTCAAGAAATGTAACTTAGCCCTCTTGTGACCAGATTAGCTATTATTGAGTAACTCTATCTTGTTTGGTATTTTGTTTTAGAAATACTATGATTATAAAACTAACATTGTGAGAAAAAAATGAGTGGCTTTAGTTGATTAAATATTCTCAAATGTGAATTTTACATGTAAACATTAAATTATCAGTATTAAACTTGCTTTTCAAATTAAAATTTTCTGCCTCCTCCCTTCTTTTTGGTTAGCAGTACAGTTGTCCGCCGTTTTAGATTTTTTAAGTGTACTAGACTGCCATGTAAGATCAACTGAGCAAGTACTTGGTCATCTAGTACATTTGCTGATCTATACGGCCGGGGGCCTAGTGCTGGTGACCACAGTGTCCTATGCCGTTGCTTGATCAGCACTTATGTTGTCTGAAATAGCGCGGGCAAGATTAAACTCCTTCCTGATGATGGGGGGGGGGGGGGGTGTTCTGGCTTCTAACCCCAAGATACGCAACTACCAGTGAACACAATAGGATGGCATTACTCGCCATGCTCGATCCGACCTGCGTCGTGGTCGTTCATACCCTCTGTCTCCGTCGTCTGTCCCCGTCACTCTCACAGAAAACTTTCTGGGTCCTTCTTCCCCATGTCATTATGTAAATCTTTTACAGTTTGAGTGAAACACAAAGAGCACATTTTTAAAAAATAAGAGGTTAGAAACATCAATAGGTTTTTTTTTTTTTTTAAAGAAAGAAAAAAACAACATTACAATATCCCTTCAAAAAAAGGGGCATCCTGTAGCCGGACATCGCAGACGTATCACAGCGCTGTGAGAACGGGAGGCACGGAAAGATTTGTGGCGGTTTTCACGTACATCGGGGACCTCGTCAGTTTCCCAACGCAGCTGTGCAGCCGAGCGAGGGGGTCAAGTGCAGAGGGCGTGTGTTCATGGCGATTAGGGCACCGGGGGCGGGGGGAGGGGGCCGTGAGCATCCTGGTTGTGCCCGGCTACATCAGGTGGCCGGGAAATGCTTACAGTTAGTGCTGTCTCATCGGCAGCCAATGAGTTTCCTGAAGCTCGCTGGCAGTAACCGCCATACAGAACACAAATTGTGTGGGGGGGGTGTCTCACTGTGCTTTCTCCTTTCCCCACCCAACCAAGCCCTGCACCACAGGAAAGGAAGTTTGCGTAACACAAACCGGCTCCCAGGCCACGAGTGCCTCCTTCAACCTCAACACAGCATCGGGTGGCACGTTAGAGGGGCCCCACCCTAAAATGTGTCATAGGGGTTGGAAAGGGTGAGGGGTGGGGAGTGCTGGAGGTGACCTGACCCCATCCTGTCCCTCTCCCTTGACAGAAAATGTCAAAAATATTATAACACAATTACTGCTATTTCTGGGGGCACCAGCGATGCAGTCACATGACTATTCTGTCAGAGGTCACATGACAATTCTGTCAGTGGAAGGTGGGCTGGTTGACATTTTCACACAAAAACTTGTAACCCAGGTCGGCCTCACGGGGGGCTTTATCTCACCCTCTCGGGCCAGATAAAGGGGCCCCAAGCCTGGAAGTGGCAGATAAATGTAAGGGTGGGGCCTTAATCCCCACCGCGCCCGTGTCTATGCCATCAGGGGGGGCTGTCTTCTACAGCTCCCCTTCAGGGTCGTCACCAAATCCCTGACCAGAGACACGAGCTGTCCTGGAAGAGCTCGCCTTAAAGAACGTCACAGACGCAAAGGGACTCCGATGCCAACACCCAACGAAAAATGGCTGACCTTTGACCCCCGCTTCCGATCACAGTCGCAGTTTAATGGAACGGTTCCGCTTAAGAAAGTTTTGTAATAAATTACTCTTTAATAATCTTTAACGTAACTATTGTGTAACGTGATTTAGCACCCACCCTTGAACAGGAGCCAAAATTTACCAAAGAGAGAACCAACGTATGGCACTGGCATCGTTTAATAAATACCAGAGTCTCCATGATTAGCTTTAGTGGGCCCTTTTGCAGATATCCATACATGTAGTGGTATTTACATCAAATATATTCTGTAGTAATACACCTTGCAGAGGTTCAACATCTTTTACTGAGGCTTTGTCTATTGCCATCACATTATTACACAGCTGCTCAAAATACATGCAAATACAGAAATTCTTCCCTTATCTTTTTCTCTCACTGTGATCATTAATAATCATTGTTTAAGCATCACCTAGTGATGTGTCCAAAAATATGTTGTCACAAAATGTCCAGTGCTCAGCTAAGGTCACTTTAACCCCTTCAAAACATTCATACACATCAATCCTCACCTTTATTTCCCTCCATCACTGTGTTTTCATTTTGGCACTGTACTTTCGTCTCCCCACCTCTGTGGCCACCGTGCCAACAGACGCCCCCACAGCGCCCCCTAGTGGTCCGCCCAGATATATTCCTAAGACCCCACCCAGAAGGGCCCCGCCGGCCAGCAGCTTTGGGACACCCTTCAACACCTCTACCACCCTCTGGCACAAGGAGTGAAGGAGCGAGGGAGATGAGGAGGAAGAGGAGACAGAGGCAGGGCTATCTGGTTGGCCCTTGTGACTCTCTGTCAGGCTCCCTTTTTGCTCGACTGCATCCTCCTCCACCTCTTTCACACACTGCAGAAAAGAGGAGAGCATCTGCTGGACCTCATCCTCTGCCTCCGTCACTCTGTGGTTGGATCCATGGCTGTAGCACCTCCCCCCGCTCTCTTTCACCGCCTGCTCCACCTTCTCCAGGAGCTCCCCGACACTCCCCGGCTCCATCACGTGGTAGCGATCCCCACACTTCTCCACCAGCTGCATCAGGTCCTGGCGATGGCTGGCGATGTGCTCCTCCAGCTCGGCAATGCTGGCGCCCCCCCGCGTGCCACGTGTGAAGAGCACCATGCTGTGGCTCCTGAGCGCGTCAGGGCCCAGGATTCCCTCCACGGCCCTCAGGGCCCGTAGCTCGACGGCGGCCGGCTGGTCCACTGAGACGCAGAGCAGGAAGGCGTGGGGTCCCGGGGAGGAGAGAGACAGGCCTTCGGAGAGACCCTTCTGCACATCCTCCAGAAGGTGCTCTGAGTCCAGCCAGTCAGGGGTGTGGACCACAGCTACCTGCGCGGTGGAAGGGAAAAACTGTGAAAAAACTATGACGCAGTAAAAAAATACAATTCATAAAAACAGCAAAATACTGTATGAATGTCTACAGACAATGTTTCAATTGTAGAGGTTCTATGGGAACCATCCATCCATTTTCTGTACCTGCCTGTCCTATGTAAGGTCAGGCGGCCCAGAGCCGATCCCAGAAGCTACAGCCACAAGGCAGGGAACAACCCAGGATGGGGCACCAACCCATCGCGGGGCACAAGGCAGGGAACAACCCAGGATGGGGCACCAACCCATCGCGGGGCACAAGGCAGGGAACAACCCAGGATGGGGCACCAACCCATCGCGGGGCACAAGGCAGGGAACAACCCAGGATGGGGCACCAACCCATCGCGGGGCACAAGGCAGGGAACAACCCAGGATGGGGCACCAACCCATCGCGGGGCACATTCGCCATTCACAACCACATTTTTCTTTAAAAAAATAATTTCATACATAAAAACATGTTTCTGAGATGGTCTGAATCTGTGTATTAGTCAGCTAATCAGGGCCCAGTTTTTTGTGATATTTGTTGATAAGATCATGGCTGATTTGTGACTGGGGTTGTCATGTCAACGGCTGTTTACTGTTGCGTTTGGGGTAACGGCACGGCACCCAGACCTGATTCCCTGCCACAATGGCAGTTCTCCTCTCGCACTCCAGATCAGCGCCGTCCCGGGACAGGAGCGCCTCCTTTCCCAGGATGCAGTTCCCCATGTCTCTCTTCCCCGTGCCCCTTCGGCCGAGGATGAGGAGCCTCAGCTCTGGAAGAGTGGTGGAGAGGAAGGGAGCAGGGGATGGAAAGACGGCGTCCTCCGCAGAGCTGGAAGGATGGGAAATGGTAGGGGGCGCCTCCTCAGAGGTGGAAGAGATACGGTGGAAGACTGGGAGAATGAGTAGCAGGTGAGAGAGAGAGAGAGAGACAGAGAGAAAGAAAGAGAGAGAAATGAGTTACATTCACAATAAGGAGATATTGAAGTAACCGTAACATAATGATGTCATCAACCGAATAGTTATTATTAGTCTACAGTATAGCTTTGTTCCATGCTATGATACACAGAATTCTGCATCATGGGAAATTATGTTTTTCTGATACGTGCAGATGACTGTCACAGAAATAGGTTTCAGAATATCAGTGTTTGGTTCACACTTAATAAAAATCATTTTAAACATAATATTTATACTTCGCTATGGTTTTTGACTAGTTTACCCTGTAAACCCTGCTAACCAGTGTACAGTGTATTTCAGTTAACAGCCATTTAAAATAAAAGCAAATGATGTCTTTTCTAGAAAACATATGAGAACTAGCACATAAAAGCTAAATGGAACTAATTTTTTAATGACAAATAGCAGGTTAAAACAGAAATTACAACCGCTAACAGTACTTACTGGTATTGACATAGCTCGGGGCTGGTTTTTCATCCATGAGCTGGGAGAGCAGGGCGCCCTCTAGTGACGAAAATGTGCAACGTAAGCATTTTTTGTCGCGCGTAATTAATTGTTTGCAATGAGACCGGCGCACAGTGACAGCGCGTCTCACATGTAAGTATTTGATGTCACGAAGTAGACTGAACAAAGAAAAGCAGACGCCACAACATAGAAATGAACATAATAGCCATAGGGGGAAATCTAGACAAGAAAGAGAAAGTAAAACTGGGACACAAGAGACAGGGAAAAAGTTCTGAGAATATTAAATTCGTGTTTTCTATCTGAACCTACTTAGTAGTGCGTTTTCATGCTGTCTGCTTATGACACATATAATAAGAGTTATGTTTCATAATCTTCAAGAAAACTGTGAAGCAGAGTGATGCCGTCCTACCTGCAGACAGACGGAAGCTGGGTCTTCTCTCCAGCGGGTTGCTGGAGTCTGATGTTCGACGTGGCGGCGCCGCTGCATGCAGTCCGTTGGGCAGTTGCTTCGCGGTGACCGCCTCCTCCACCCCTATGTCTCTTTCCTCCGTCCCGGTGAGGCGCGACCCGTCCCACGACTCTCTCCGGTTCTGTGTTTTGAGCACCATCGGGTTTGAACTCCACGTCCTGTCCACCGGTCTCCGTTCTGCATCTACCGGGGCGGCTATGTGGTGAACGTAACAGTCCCCGTTAATTCGCACCATGTTCTCCACCTGGCGGAAGGAGAAAATGGGGCCATGAGTCCTGTTTCAGGTATGTACGCGTTCGCCTGGCATCTGAGAAAATTACAGGAGCGGAGTGAACTGGGCAGCACTGTCCAAGTGGGGGAAATGAACAAGCAGAAGGGTAAAAACAAGCCAGAATGAGAATGAAACTGGCCACAAATTCAGATAAGACATCCAGCATCACAGCAGTTGATTGCAAGAAATTCATATCATGTATCATATCATGCGGACGTGGAATCCGTGCGATGTGTAAGAATCAATGTCGAAAAAAACATGGATTCAGCCGAAAACTAAATACTTAATGGATGGAATAAGGTTTTATTTATTTTAATCGTCGCCTCCTCTCTTGCATCCACAGATACTGTCAATCAAACGAGGCAGAACATGGTAAATGTTTCTCCGCAGATTGCATCAATCAGAACCGGTGAAAAACCTCATTAACTAAACAGAGGAGTTTACATTTAAACAAGATTTATCTATCGAAACCTTTTTCGTTTGTTTCGAAGCTGAGAAGCGCGTTTCATCACTTAGAATCAAATGTGTTCTAAAGGCAATATATGCGATAATGTGTGGTGGATACCGGTATAACCTCCGATATTGCAAGAGACTATGTTGCTTATAATAACCGGATATCAATGAAATCAATGAAATCGAGTAGCGTTATAAACGGGTATTTAATCGAGTATTTCCAGAGCTTCAGTCGTGCCGGACTTTAAGTTTTAATTAGCGATGTCAGATTTCTTTATTGAATTAAAATATCATAAAACCATAAGCATGAATTTTAAAGCTAATTGTGATTAAACAAAATTAGGTTGCTAGAAAATTCAAAACAAAACATAACTCGGGATAATGGGGATACCGGCATAGGGCCTCACCTTTTCCAGAAGGCTCCGGACCTGCCCCCTGTCCTGGGGCCTGCGGTTGTTAATGACATGGTATCGCCCCCCACACCTGTCCAGCACCTCCTTCAGGCCTGGCCCCTCCCCTGCTAGGTACTCCTCCGTCCCCTTCCCCATCAGGTAGTCCCCACAGGTGAACAGCACCAGTGTGTGCCGCAGCACGTCCTGCCCGAACATCTCCTCCATCTGGCTGGGAACCCGCCCCTCCACCTCGGTGAACTGCCCCACGGGGATGAGGAGAAGGAAGGCGTGGGGCCCCGGGGCCGTTAGACTGAGGGCCCGTGCCGTCTCCCGCCTGACGGTGGTCTCCACCCGGCCTCCCGACCAGTACCAGCGCGGGGTTTCCACCAGGTTCAGCATCCGCCCTTCCGACAGGCCTTGCCTGTTTTGGCAGATCCTGGGGGAAGTGTAGTCGGAGACCCGGGAGGATGTCCCCAGGATGGTGTCTCCGGAGTGGGTCTTGCCGCAGCCTATGGTTCCTAGGAGGACCAGTCGGAGCTCTGGAAAGCCAGCAGGGGGCGCCATCCCGTTTTCATTCATCCTACTGAGGCGAGACAGGAGACACAGGCCAGTCAACACACACATTAAAATGTCTCATCTTCTGCCAGAATTGTCCACCCCTTGGTTGCACTCGCTGGAATGATGATTGACACCTTTCTTATTCTTAATGGGTGAAGAATGACACATACTCACATACCAGACACTACACGCGGAGACGCGTTTTAGGCAGAATGACACTTCGAGGGACCGTGCAGTTTTGTCTGCTGTGCATGGAATGCGTCTGGGTTGAGTCCCGGGTGGACATGCTGTGTTCAGAGAGTGACAGATGCGCGCTTGCAGGAAGAGCCAAACCGGCTGCATGCGGAGGCCGTCATCACCGCCCCCCCACCCCGCCTCGATACGTGCTGTGTCTTCTAAAACAGAAATGGCCCGGGGGGCCTAACTTATAGAGCATTATCACGAGTGCATCATTAAAAACTTACTGCAAATAATTTAATGCAAGCTGATTAAACTTCACTAATAAAAGCCTGAATTATGTCTCTGTTTTTTTTTTTTAATAAAAATGTTTTTTTTTAGGCAGGGAAAACAACAGTGGCTTCTCACTGAGTGTTACGATGTGATATCTTCTAATCAGCTGTATTTTTGACTGCATTTATAATGTTCTGTCATCGTTCAGATACGTTCTGTGGCCCTTGGGGAAGCGGACTGAAGAGAAGAGGCTGGGCCCACGTTCCAGCAGTGAGGACGGACGGCACTGTAACGACGGACGGCACTGTAACGACGGACGGCACTGTAACTGGCTTTGGATCAAAGGGCCGGCGTGAGTCTCAGGGGACGGGCGTGAGGGCAGCCTGCACTTCCAGTTCCTCAGGCCTTGATTCTTGTGGCATGACTGTTTTTATTTATTTTCTCTTTCCCAGTGTAACCATCCCAGTGTAACATACAGCTGGGACACACCTGATGTGGCCTGTTTTACAGCATTCTTTTCTGACACACACACACACACACACACACACACAGGAACACACACACACACACACAGCACTGCAGAAGCAGCCCTACCCCTAAATAACAGCTTCAGTAGCAGTAGCTTAGCCCTATGCAGACCATATACAGTCCAATTGGAAAATGTGGTCCTTCCAAGCCAGTCCTAAATACATCTGAAATAATATGCTCCTGTCTCCATGGAAACCACTAACAGTGCAGCCTGCTCTGTTAAACAGCGTAGGGTGGGGGCACAGACGCCTGGGGGCCGGGTATCTGGTACAAGGCATGTCCTGTCTGCGTCTTTGGAGGGTAAAGTTAATGGACGAGTGCCCCCCACCCTACCTGCATCGACATCAGACCCAGCAACAGTCTGGTGCGACGAATTCATGTGAACAAATCACACCCTGAGCTTTCTCTCAGTACAAGAAATGTCATATCATCACTGTTTTTAAATATCTGTAAGGATATAGAATCTGTTACTTATGCAAACGAAAAATCTTGAAAATTTATAATTTTCTTTTCTTTATATATATAAATTCACATATACATACATAAATACAAACAGTATCGTACAGAAGTCTTAGGCTTCTTCATTTGCGTATATTCTAATGTTAAACCGTGTTTTATCTGAGCAAATACTACCCAGATAAACATTTTCTATGACTTTTGCACAGTGCTGTATATGTGTGTGTGAGGTGACATTGAAGTTATTCCAGTATCACTAATGCAACTTTAGTTCAATCTTCCACCCATAATGGAAGTTTCACAATGAAACACAGTTTAAAAACAAACATTAACAGCAGACAGAAATGAGAAGTAAACTCACCCACTGTCAGAGATCAGTCTGTCTTGACTATTAAGACTTAATTCTTGGCTTATGTTCATCTGTACCTCTGCCTTTGCTATTTGTGCCTTCCTGAGTCGTTTTCTCGCTCCTTTTCTTGCTTAAAATGCTCCCTCGCTCTCTCTCTCTGTTGCTGACACACTCCTTAAAGCAGTAGGCGACACCCACTGCGTTGCCTCTCCTCCACTGTCACACTCTCTCTCTCATACACACCCACACTCAATCATCATCGCAGCTATTTTAAGGTTGTGGGCTGGGGATGGAGGTAAAACCCACAGAATGGAGGAAATCATCAGGCTTCACTTCACCTGATACGCACCTGCGTCTTTGAGACAGAAAATTCCTTACATTCCATATTGGTCACTGTGTTTGTCATGACAGCCCATTGTGAGAAGCGAAGTTGTTTTGTCTCATTCCTATGATTCCGATCCCTGCATATCAAATTACAGTAAGCTATGTCATTAGAATATTATGTGGAACAGAAATGGCACATAAGATCCTAACATATGCTTAATAATCTATATCCAGTTTTTTTTTATGGTTGGTTTTATAGTTTTATGGTTTGAAAGACATGCAAGCTTAAATGCTCATGAGATGTGATGTAGATACAGGGAGACTAACAGACACATGACACATTTTCCCGATGGCTGCCTATTGAGAGTGCACTGATAATATTTTATTTATTCCGGTCCAGCATTGTAGGCTTCAGCTATACCTGCCTATACCTATACCAGCTATACCTTCAACTATACCTGCCTATACCTATACCAGCTATACCTTCAGCTATACCTGCCCTTAAATGAAATGCTAATGTCTGTGGAAACATTGTTACTTTGTTGTCATCTGAAGGGGGTTTCTAACTGTGACCAGAGGTCCACCGGGTAGAGCATCCAAAGTTCACTGAGATGCAAACACTAACCATAGGGATCCATTATTTTCCACGAGGACCAGTGTAAGCAATATAATAGAACTCACTTTAAGGCAAGATAGATTGGAATAATCCCTTAACTTATAATTACAAGATTTGAATGGCAGATCCTACAAACAAAAAAAGACTCAGTGTCTTGTCTGTTGTCTCAGTGTTTACTCCGACCGCAGTGAGTGATGTTTTGTTGAGGGAGACATTTTATTCGCTACTTCACTCGGTGGTTGATGGGTGCCCACGAGGTGACACTCCTCTGGTCATGGGTGACTTCAGTGCGACCACTGGCACTGACAGGGCTGGCTATGAGGATTGTGTTGGTCCCCTTGGGTCTGGAGACCACAGTGAAAGCGGCTCCATGTTCCTTGTCTTTGCGAAAGGTCAGGGGCTGCGAGTCACTGGATCCTGGTTCCAACACCCTGAGTCGCATCGTTGGACTTGGTACTCTAATACTGGTGGTGCGGCGAAGGAGATCGATCGCATCCTCGTGGGCAGACGCTGGAGGCTCCTGAAGAACTGCAGGGTCTACAGAAGTGCCCAGTTTGTGAATTCTGACCACAGACTTGTTGTTGCTGCTCTGAAGATTCAGGAGAATGAGGCTGGACTTGGCCAGACTCCGAGATCAAGCTGTTTCTGATGATTCTGCACGCAATTTGTGTGAGGAGCTTGAAGACTTCAGTGCCCTTACGGATGCACTGCAGTTGTGACTCCCTGGCCTGGCTACTTTGAACAGCTGTTTAAAGCTGACCCTCCAGCTAAGATGTCGGACATCTCTGGGTCCACGGTTCTTGAAGCTGATCCTCCGATCAGCTGTGAACCACCCAGTCTCACTGTGATTGCACGGGTGGTGAATCAGCTGGGGGCAGGGAAGGCTGCAGGGATCTGTGGTATCAAGGGTGAACTGCTGGTGGTAAGGCTGTCCTCCTGGCATTGCAGGCAATCTTTGCTTCCATTTGGGGAGTCAAGCATCATCCCAACTGACTGGAAAACGGGACTTGTAGTCCCTATCTGGAAAGGGAATGGTGGATTACTGCAACTACAAGGGGATAACACTGCTTTCAGTGCTGGGTAAGGTCCTTGCTAGGGTCCTGGTGCTCCCTGTCTTGCTGTATGGGTGTGAGACATGGACGTTATCCAGTGAACTGAGACGAAGACTGGACTCCTTCGGTACTGTGTCTCTTCTGAGAATCCCTGACTTTGTGTCGAACGGGCGGTTGCTAGAGGAGCCCTGAATGAGGCACATTACCTGCATTGTGAGGGAGCGTCAGTTACGGCACTACGGCCATGTGGCGCGTTTCCCTGAGGGTATCTGCCTGGGGGATCGCCGGCCAGGATCCCGAGGAGTTTCGCTGTGTGGTGGGTGCATTAGCGGATGCTCCCCAACCTGACCTGACCTGGTGCTCTAATCAGGGTCACTGGTCCAAACCCCATGGTCAGTAGAATGTCATCACCATTGGGCTCTTCAGCACGGCCCTCAGTACCAATTGCTCCAGGCACTGTCTGACTGCACTGCCTCACTTTCTTGCAGCTCCAGTGTTATATTTCAGGGGAGGTGTGTGGCTCTGTGAGTTAATCCACTGCATCTGTGATCCAGTGATCACTGGTTCAAATCCTGTGGCCCTTAACCTGCATTGTGCCTAAGACTGTCTGACCCTGCTTTCTCAGCTGCACATCACTTTGGATAACAGCTTCTGCTAAATGAATCAATGTCATGTAAATGTCCCCTTGAAACTCCCACAACCTTTCGTGTTTCTTACCCACCACTGGCCACCTGTCCCAGAGCCTCAGGGACTTTGCTGTCATCACAGTCTGCTGTTCATTCAAATTTAATAGAACAGAAAAACCAGCAAACCGTGTGGCCACTGACAGATCAAGGCTCTCCACCCCGAATGAAAGCATTCGTAAACTGTTCCAGTTTGGCATTCCAGTTAATCTCGGAAGTGTTGTTTTGGGGTAAGGCCTGCTGCTCTAAAGCAACAAAGCACACCGTCACAGTCCAAGTAGTCAGGCCTGTTTTCCTGCAGCAGAGAGATGTGAGATGGGTTTGGCTTGTCAGTTGTTGGGCTCACACTGCAGTTATGTTCTGAGGGACTGAGATCTTATCACAGATTAACTTGGCTTGTCAGTTGTTGGGCTCACACTGCAGTTATGTTCTGAGGGACTGAGATCTTAAAACAGATTAACTTCAGCCAATTGTTTCACTATCCAATTGCATCAACACGCACAGTGCATCAATCACCCTCACACTTCAGCTACCCTACCTAATACAGCAACAAAGTACTTCAAAGTATGTTTTGCAAATACTTGGATGCAATCACATAAAAAGGGGGCAGCGTGTGGCTCAGTGGGCTAAGCCGTGTGCCTGTAATCACAAGGTCGCTGGTTCAAGGTCTGCGGCTTGAGCAAGACCCTCAACCCCCAGCTCCCTGGGCGCTGCTACGGGTGGCTGCCCTTCGCAGACAGCTTGCTCTACAAAGAGCAAGTTGAGGGAGGCATAAAAAGAATTTCCCCACGGGGATTAATAAAGTGCAAATTATAATTATAATTAAAAGCCACTATTCATCAGTTGATTCACCATTCCATCTTCCAACTGCTTTTCCCAGGCAGGAACACAGGGTAACAACATTAATAATTAGGAATAATCATACTTTCTAGAGATAATCTCAGTGGTGACTTGATGGTTAGGGTAGCGCACTTGTAATTGAAAGATTGCAGGTTCAAATCCCCCACCAGCAAATCACCACTGAGGTACCCTGAGCAAGGTACCATCCCCAAGCACTGCTCCCCGAGCGCTGAATTAGCTGCCCCCTGCTATGTCACGAAAGTCACATATGGGTCAAATGCAGAGGTCACATTTCGTTGTTGCGCACTGCGTGCTGTGGTATGTTGACAATGACCACTGATCACTAAATTCTAACATACACTGAAGAAATTATTCGGAGATTGTAAGCAGACTGAAAAATAACCATTTAATTCCTCATTCTAATCAATCAGCTATGAAATTTATGTTGGACTTTACCCCAGAGAGAGAGACATTGCCAAATCTCCGTGTGTCAGCTGGATATACATTCATAAACATGAACAGCCTTTAGACGGAAAAAGGACACCATGCTTTGGAGACCAAAACTTCTTCAGATAAAACTTCAATCCAGGGTCCTGACTGCAGGTTCCATGGTGCTTATCAGGAGACTTCAGAAGGGTTTGTGCCTCAGTGATCTTGCTAATTGTATTATCAGGCCATATTAGTCATTCCACAGTTTGTTTATTCTCAAATACCAGACATGAGTTCTGGCACAAAAAGAGATTAAAAAGATTAATCTCTGAAGCATTATTTACAGGCTGTAATTCAGGTACTTGGCCACCTATAAAAAATGCCCTTGTTTGGATATGAGGGAAGAATGAAATAAATACAACACATTAGTAAATCTATAATATGTTTGTAAAAGATACATGTGTTTTACAGTAGCCTGCTTATTGTTTTCATACAGATAAACAACCCAAAGAGCTTTTGTCAAAGTGCTAATAATGATGAACAACAAACACTGGACAAACATTTCACATCTTGATTTATTTGATATGAAGCTGATTGATTTTCTTTTGCTCCCTGCCTGATGCCCAGAGTTTCCGGGATATTATCCAGACCCCCACCACCCTGCACAGGATAAAGGGGGGGGGGGGGGGTATGGAAAAAGGAGGCTTTCTGTTCTACTACAGGAAGACTTGAATCCCCTGTAATACCTCAGGTTGCTGGATGCCAACCTGCCGTAATCTTACTCCTGAATTGTATTTAAAGTGTGTGGAGAACCGGCAGCAGAATCCACCTCAGGACTGGTAAGAGAGACTCTTAAATGGATAAATGGCATAAGTCTCTTGTTCCTGGTCTGTCTGCTTGGGTCTGTACTGATGGCTTTCCTGCATATCATCCCTCACAGCTGTCCTGCACTGAGAATCCCTACTTCTGTGCCTTATAATAGCCTTTAGCACAAACATTGATGTTTACGAGACCCATAATAGACCCAGTGTTATTCCTGAAGCAAAACCTGGAACATACAATTGGATGCAGAGACGTTCATTTCCCAGTGGGCCGGTCTCATTCTCTACGGGTATGTTCACTAGATTTCACAGGGATCATTCACACCCAAGGCCTCTCGGGGCAAACCACAAAACCAGCTGAGCTGTTTAATCTGTCGCTATTGTTTCGCTGGGCGTATGAGTGTTCGGTTCATTACTCACCCTCCTTGCATTTGTGGAATTTATAAAATAAATCACA